CCATCACGATTCCGGTGGAAACACCCAGCAGCTTTATTAGCGAAGGTGAAAGGGCTTTCTTTGTTCCTATAGTGTATGGAAACCATAACCTATTCCTACGATCACTGTCATAAATATCACTTAATTTCATAGGCACGGTCTGAGAAAATCAGTTAACGTAATGTACCATTTACAGCGGTATGCATGTGACTTACCGGACTTCTTAATGTAACAATTTTAAAAGGAACAAATTATATTTAAAAGTGTTTGGTTAATAATCGTGCAGTTGTTCAGCTAATGAAGAAATTCTTCGCCCAGAAGTCCGGTTCCATGTTCCCCACTGATCACTCTCTTGAACCAAATGAACCCAATCTATAATCTCCCAACTTATTCAAAATTATATTAAATAAAATTGTATTAATTACTCTTGTTTTCGTAATGATGTTTTTCTGCTGTTATTGAGCAAACGGATTAAATATTTTAATATTACTTATTTTTCTGGTGTTGTATTTTATAGTTTTTTTTTAAATTTTACTTCCTACCTGTAAGTGACTATTCAGCTCCTATCAGACACGGTAATATATAAACAGAGTCACAATTATCACACTTGCTGTTTTTGGAAGAATTTCATGAAGAAGTTTTATGTCTTTACTATTAATTTGTATGTGTTTTCTCGTTGTGTTTCCTTAACAAAGGTTTAGTTACTTATAACTAAATTTTTATTGGTGAAACAACATTATGAATAATTGTATTCGAGATGTAGACAAGAGGACGAGATTCAAAGAAAGACACAAGAAACTATGTACACTAATTTAAACTCCTGAATTTCGAAATCACTAAATCATCGAGCCCTGTATCAGTAAGAAATGGGACACACACACTCACACAGCCGACCATTTTTTAATTCATGTACACTCGTGGTTAAGCCCTTCACCAACAAATATTTTATCTCTAACAACATTTTGACGTTAATAACAATTTTTATGATTTTTAAAGATATTTCAGTATGTGAAGGAGTCGTAAAACATTAGAAGACTCAGTCCCACTCTCTGAATTGGTTTTATGGGTTCCGATATTCCGTGGGCTTGTAGATGGCTGGAAGCGACTGTTAAACATACCGTCTCCAACTTCAGAGTTAGTATCGGCCTACAAATCCACACGGCGCCAGAACCCAGATGACAGCCACAACAGACATCTCTATCCTCGTCCTCAGGTTACTGAAGGACATTGAGGACAGAGATGGACCTCGAAACGTTGGTCTTTTCATGTTTTAAGTAATATCCTGATCGAGATCCTGATGAGCTTGCTGAAACATTCGGATAGCTCCGGATTGAATCTCGACTGTTTTGACTGTGACTGAATTTTCTTTCTTTCAGTGTTCTGTCCTGCTCTGACCGTCACCACAATTCAGCAGCGTTTGAGGGCCAAATAGCACCCGAGCCGATAGCAACATCTTGTGTTGCAATGCATCATATGAACGAGTGTGAAAGTAAGATATACAACGCGGAGGAGCTCACTCACGTGGGTGGATGGGTGTTGATACAGAGAGAAGAAAGTTTGGGTTTGTTCAGGACGAACCGACCTCACACTGCTTTTACGAACTTGACTCATCACTCTCTGGTGCAAGGTTCTTCAACTTAAATCTGTATTCTGCGTCACCTATGTTAAATGTTACACTGCGTTTAATACAAGAGTGGTACAACTGATATTTTCGGAGCAGTCGTATCAAACACGTTCAGTACAACAATTCTTTTAGAAAGCTAAGTATTAAAATGTTTTCAAGTGAAACCTAAATTTCGTGTACGTAAACATTTGTCTGACATTTTTTCAGTTGTGTGTTTGAGCACAGGGTGGGAGGATAATATTAAATCTTAGAGAAATAGGATGGGGTGATATGGACTGTATTCATCTAGCTTAGAATAGGGACCAGTGGCGGGCTCTTGTGAACACGGTAATGAGCCTTTGGGTTCCATAAAATATTGGGGAACTTCTTCAGTGGCTGAGCGAACGCTGACTTCTCAGAAATGACTCGGCTCCATCGAGTAAGTGTAAAAGAACAGGCCTTCACCGAAACGTAAGTTTATGCACGAGGAATTAATAAATAAGTGTATGTTTATAAATAGAAATTTAAAGATGTAAATTCGAATGGTCATGAAACTCATTCAGTATTCGAAAAATCCCTGAACCACGAGCCCATGGAAATTCAGCAGGTTGTTGGTTTAATTCCACTGTCGATTCGACAACAGAAGACACTTTCTCTCTTACCATCTCCTTCGTTAACACTAACTCAGATAAAAACGAGTATCTTAAAGCACGAATAGTAAACCCTGGTTTTATACGCACGGATATAGGAATATTTATAAGAGAATTACGAGAATTGGTAACAGAGATTTGGACAGAATTCTAGGCATGGACGAAGGCGTCTCTGTAGCCTGTTACATAGTAGGAAAAGTCGTCCGTAGAGACAATACCAGAGGCGTCTTTTTTATTAATACCATAGACAGAGACGTAGGCGAATATTCCATCACCATTACAGGCACAGAAGCGTCCAGAAAGTCATGGCAATTCACTTTTCTTTACATTAGTTCATGTCTTTGCCAATTGAGGGCGAAGGAGGTAACACGGCTTTGAGTTTTCGATGTTTCCATCCGGGTTATAGGATACCCTAACAGGTAAGTGGGTCAGAAAAAGTTCGCGGGCCCATTAGTTAATACCTTCCCAACAGATGGCACGGCAATTCACTTATCTGTATATTAGTTTATGCCGTCGTCAATATATGGCGCTGCAGTTCACTTTTCTTTACATTAGTTCACGACCTCGCTAATATATGGCGCTCAATAATCTCAAAACTGTGCATACCGTGTAGTGTATTAGAATATAAAATAAGGAAACAAAACGAAATGTTAACACTTATACGAGGTGCGATCGGAAAGTTTCCAGACTGCGCCTATAAAAACCCGTACACTTATCTCAGGTATTAAATTCATCCATCACCCTCGAAGTAGTTCCCCTGGGAGTGAACACAACGATCCCAGCGCCGCTGCCAAGCCTGGTATAAAAACCCGTGCACTTATCTCAGGTATTAAATTCATCCATCACCCTCGAAGTAGTTCCCCTGGGAGTGAACACAACGATCCCAGCGCCGCTGCCAAGCCTGGAAGCATCCCTGGAAATCTTTCTTTGTCAGCCTGTCAAGCACCATCTGCGATTCTGCCTGAATCTCTTCTATCGTCTCACATCTCCTTCCCTTTAGCTGAATTTTCATCTTTGGGAAGAGGAAGAAGTCACACGGAGCTTAGAAAGGAAGTTGGGGTCGGTTCTTGCAAGATCTTTGAGCTCCTGACAAACGAGAAGTCGATTCTGCTTCTGGTCCTCTGACAGGATGCGTCGCATGTGGAGTTCTTCCTTTAGAATCAGCTGACAGGTCCCAACAATGTCGCACAAGTCGTTGATGGTACGACGTCGATCTTCGTAACTTTTTCGGGCGTTGTGCTCGAAGATGGTCGTCCAGAATGCTCGTCATCATCGACAGGGGTTCGGCCCTTTTTAAAACGTGAATGCCACACAAAAGTTTGCGGACTCCCCAAATGCTTGCTTTAGCATTTCATAGGTTTCCGTAGCCGTTTCGGCGAGTCTTTGGCAAAATTTGATGCACACGCCATTCCGAAATCGCAGGAGGGTCGGTGTAATGCACTACCAAAACGCCCGTAACTAAGAAACAAATGCTAATTCGATGATGCCGGCTGACACACTGATTCACTATGAATGTAGGCCGCACCCCCTAGCGGCAGAAGCTCGTACTACATCCGGTTCGCCCTCTATTGACACAGTCTTGAAACTTTCCGATCGCACCTCGTATATGAAACTAGTACCAAACGCGTTTCGAACTCAAGAGGTCGTCATCAGTTGGCAAAAGCGGGATTAATTCGTATAATAAAAAATGGTTTTACAAAACAAATCAACAAAGTGAGTTATTTACAAAACCATAATAAATAGCACTACACTAGATGTTGGTTTCACAGGAGTTGAACTCTGCACTTAGCTGTTAGTCCACTGGTCTGGTGGCCGTTTTTTCTCTGCAGCGAGCCGTGGTGACGTCGTCCCTGTCTGTAAACTCGAACGAAGTTTAGGTTTTACTAAATTTTACATTGCACTAATGTATGTGTGCGTTATGGTTTATCAGTACAAGCACTACTATTAAGAATTCGAAGAATGAACTCTTAAATGTTTTTAAAAAAAGACATAGTCGTAACAACAGTTCACAATAAAGCGAGGTCGCCAGGAAGAACTATCGACTGATCACATGATCGACAGTTCGCCAGAAAGACAGATTAACTAATCGCCAAGCCGAATGTTAGGCAGACGTACTAGTCTCCAGAACGTTTGGACACGAGTTCAAGTCGTTGTTTTGTGCGCTTTTTGGACAA